CCCAAATTGCAATAAAGTTTATTTTTAAGGCTCTTAATGTCATTGCCCCATTTTTAAATATACAATAAATAATGGGGGCTAACAATTAAAAGAAATTACTTTAAAGCTTAGAATATATTCACAAAGTTAGAGTAAATAGTAAGGTAATTAAGTATATTTTATTAATTTTTGGGAGAAGATTTGATAAGATTTAGTGGTGATTTTATTTGCTAAATGCCCTTAGTATTTTGGGGGGTTTTTTTTTTCTAGGCCCAAGTGAAGCATTTTATTTATTTTGGCTAAACCTCTAGAAATTACCAAAATGGCATTGATACAAACACGTATCAGCTTTCACATTTTCCTTCCCCATTTGCGGTTGTTCCAGAACGAAGGGGAGAGAGTGAGAGCTCGGTGTGCCGTCTTTCATCCTCTCTTTTGATCATCTATTGCTGGCGATCACGGGTGTGCTATCCGCCGTTGTGTGGGGTTCTGTAAGCTTTCGATTTCTTCCTCCTCCTCTGTTTTAGCATTGCGTGCTTTCCTTTTCTCTATCTCTGTCTGCGTTGTTACTGTCTTGGGTGAGTGGAAGGGCTGGATTCTTTCTTTCCATTTCTCCTTTGCTTGTTGGTGAGTTCAAGTTTCATTTGTTCCCTCCCTTGTTTCAGATTTATGTGGCTGTGGTTGCTGAATGGATTATTGTAACAGAATAGAAAAACTGATTCTCCTTCATTGTTCTTGCTTGTTGCGTAAATGCGAGAGTAGTTTGGATCCGGGAAAACTGAAATTTAAGTCTAAAGAGCATGAACTTTGATAAACGATTCCACTGTAGTTGCTTTCTTGGGTTAAAAAAAAAAAATGGGTAGGGATTCATGCACGTATTAGTGACTGAATGAAGTTTTAGCTAAAGCTGTATTGCATTTTCTTATTTAATTGTGCCAAGTGCTTTTGTTCTTATCATATTGCCTAGTATTTTATTTTATAGTATAGTGCGGGTTGCTGTGTTTGTACTCCTCTTTTAAGATTGATTCTTGTCAATGTTTGAATTTGAGAAGCATAATAAATTTAAATGATGATGATGATTGGAAAAATTTTGGAAGAGATATTTAAAGAGTAGGATGATGGTTGTATGGTTTGATTTGAATACACATAAGGCATTTGATAAATTGTTTGACAGAAGAATTTTAGTCTATGATAGCAAATAAATATGAGAAATGTAGTATTGTTAACTAAATTATTATAGAAGATAATTATTCTCTATAATGAAAGGTGGGAAATAAAGGTAGAAAATTTTGGAAAAAGCAATTTGGTTAATAATTATATGTTCAAGTTTGTTGTTCTTATGTTAGATTTTTGGTACATATAAAGTGTTAGATGAAATGTTTGAGTGAAGAAAGTTTATGAAATTAGATATACTTGAGTGATAAATATTGATTAAATCATAGAAGTTGTTTATTTTCTATAAGTAGACTTGAAAACTTTGAATATTATTTATATATGTGTTTGTTGAAGATTTATCATTTAATTCAATATGGCTTCTTATTTGTGAAATGTTGATGTTGAGATTTTCCTTGTCAATTCTACAAATTTGCTTGAACTGAAGATTTTGGATTTGTAAAGTATATAAAAGAAATAACAATAATGTCCCTTTGGACATTAGGGAATTAAGGCACGGACAATATTATAAAAAAATAGATAATTAGGAGTAAATTATATATTTGAGAATGTCTCGGGTAAGTGGGTAGCGTTCCAACTGATTTTTCAATAAAAATTTCCTTTACTAAAATAGTACATTTTTTATGCAAATTGTTTTAATAACAATGATGTGTTTATTAAATAGTTTGTTTATTAAACTTTTTTATTTTGTGAAATTACCTTTATCAGTTTTGAAATTTTAATTGATTAATAACTACAAGTTTGGATTTGGATTATGAGATTTCATTCTATTGAATATTGGATTGATACAAAGAATGATTCATATGAGTTTGACTTTGAAAACGAAAACTTTATTTATTATCGATGATTTTCTTATATGTTTGAAATTGGATTTAAAAGGGACTTACACAGAGCACTGATTGTTAACGGCAATTCCGTTAGCCATTGGCGCGCCATGGTTATAACTAGCTTGTTCGACTTTTGTGAGTATCACACTCACGTTTGTTATTCATGGGTTTCATACCTGCATTTAATTTTGTGGCTTCAAGCCGCGTTTAATTAGCATTACCCTCATGGACTGTGTGTCCACGTTTGTTTCATAACTCAGGCTTTATTTGGTTATTTACCCTCATAGATTGTGTGTCCACGTTTGTTTTTTTGGCATAAGTCGCGTTTGGTTATTTATCTTCATAGACTGTGTATCTACATTTGTTACTTGTTCTGATAAGACCTTATAATTATGAGTTTTTAATTATTTGATGGATCTATTTTTCATTGGTTTTGATTAATGAGATATTTTTATAATTATTTTAAGCAATTATTTGCTTTATTAAAATTACATGATAATGATGTTTCATATGATACTTTAATGAATCAAGAATTTATTTAAAGTTATATAAAGTCCTTTTGTGACGAAATTTATTAAATATTTGTTTGCAAAAATTATTATTTCTAGCACACATAATTATGTTAAATTTTCTTTTTATACACATTTAATTATTTATTGTTAGGATGCTATTCACCAGAAATTCATTTTCGGTCTCAGATGGTATAGCTAAACTTGTATCTCGAAGTTTCCATTGAGGAGTTTTATTACTAAATTGAAGCGGAAGAATTATTTTAGACAAATCCTAATTTGATGAAATTTTAAACTTTGTCCTTATGTTAGAGTATGGCCTTAACTGCACCATGTAGACTACAGGTAGGACCTCATATTTTTTTTAGATTGAATATCTGATTTAATATTGTAAAAAAAATTCTAATCATCCTAATAATGTATTCAAAGTATTAGCTTTGTAGTTTCTTCGATCAAGGCTTAAGGGATGTGAGTTTTATGCTCATATCTCGTGCCGGTCACACCTAATTTTTGGGGTCTAACATTTGCAAATTATGAACTCAGAATTTACAAATTATATATCTCTTTCTTGTAACCTCTTAACCAAAATATTTCAGAAATTACTTCCAAAAAATTATAAAAATTTGATTACTTACATAAAAGATGTATGACTATGAGATAAAAATAAAATGGCAAAATTTGATATTACTTTAAAAAAGATAATAGACACAAAAACTTACATTAATATCTTGTAAAACTAATTCAAAACTTGTTGAATTGTTTCATGAGGTTCATTCGGACATATTTCAAGAATGAATCACCTAAACTATGAGATGCTAGTCACACCATGATCGATAGCACAAATAACATTGTCGAAATGAACAACTCAAGCTAAGAAAATAGAAATAATTAATACTTATATAAATTAATTAAGAGACAAAAAAAATGATGAGGCATCTAAATATAAAGTAATTGAAAAAAATGAATGAAATACAAGAATCAAAATCAATATTGACATATCTAGTCGACTTTATTTATGATTAATACTTAGGTTAGTGTTGGAGGTAATTTAAAATTTAAAATTTTAATCAAATAAAATTTAAACAAAATAACTGATTAACAACTAAACTAAGGAGATCATTTGTATATATATAAATTGAAATTGAAATTTGAGTCATCAATTTATAATCTTAATATAAAAACTATTATTTTGAATTTCAAATAAAATAAAAAAAATATAATATATAGAACCGGTAACCACTCATTTATTATATATATATATATATATATATAATAATTTATTTTTCAAACTGGACTTGCCAAAATATAAACAAAATATAATTTATTATTGTATGAATATAGAAAATAATTTGATTATTCCTTTTGATATGATTCGACTTGAATTTTGAATGGATAAATATAGTTAAAAGAAAATAAAATATGCACCGTCAATAATCATTCATTTATTTTACACATACATTATTTTATTTTCAAAACTATCTATTTGCCCGATAACTAATTATCTTTTTGAATTTTGAATGTGTATATATATATATATATATATATTACTTTATAATATGATCAAAATTTTGAGAAATTACAAAGATAGGTCAATAACTTTTTATTTGAATTTATCATGTGATTGATATATAAACGGTAAACTTTGCATAATTAACTATATAACTTTGGAATTCAAATAAATATAAAAAATAATACTCCCTTTAAAATCTAAAATCTTTCTTTTAACCAACCCATTTATGAAGCTTAATTTTCAAAATATCTTTAGGATAAGTTGAAATTTTCGGAAATGATGAGGATTCTTTATATATATATATATATATATATATAAAACCTAGATTTTAAAATTTTCATAACATTTATATGTGTGTACACTCAATCATATGAACATAGATTTTTGACATATTCTTACTGTGTATGGAAATTTTAAATAGATAGATATTAATTTAAATTCAAATATGATTAGATTTGAATCTCAAATAATAAAAAATAATTTTTATATATATTTAAAAATTAATAATTTATCCCGCACCTAATTTTAAACCTAAATAATATAATCATCTCAAACTTAATTCCTATCTTGACTTCAAGGTATAGAATCATAGGAAAGACATCTTAGAACATAGAAGTATAACAAATCTAAAAATAAATACGTGATATTTTTTTATAATCTTAAATTCTACTTCTATATATATAATGATGGAAGAGATGAGAGATTTTAAAAATTTTACCAAAATTATTAAAAAAATATTTTCTTTTTCATTTTCCTACATTGAAATTTAAAGTAAATATTTCTGAGGATAAAAATCTAGTTTTAAAATAAAAATTGAAACTATCCTAAGAAAACCTAAAAAAATCGCGGATAAATTGGATATTATGGTGCGTGGGCTCGAAAATTGTCAGGGTCGAATTTGATAAAAGGGGTTAAGGGAGGTTTCCACTTTCTACACGTTCAGATTTATTAAAAATAATTAAAAGGAGGGAAAAAAAAACTAGGTCGAATATTTTTTTACGCATACTTACCTGGCCTTCGTGTCGCGCTAGACGTTATTAGAGTGGTGCGAGACGATTCAAGGAGCTTTCGACAGATCATTCCCAGGTGAGGTCGGTAACTTCATTCTCCGGCGGTGGCGGTGAGAGATAAGTATATATAACTAGATTCCCTTCATAAGTTCACCCGAGCTTCTCATCTAGGCAACGCAATTTAGCGCTCTGCGTTTCTCAGGTGCGCCGTCGCGTTCTTTTAAGTTTCTGGCCAAATCTATCAATGGATCTAATATTGATCTAAATGCGATCTTCAACATTATTATGTGTTATGTATATTTATGCATGTAAATTACTGTCCGGCTGTAGTTAATGTTGGGTTTACCCCCGCCATGACTGTTTCCGTAACATTTCCTTATCAAAGCCGGCGGATTAATTTTGAAGTCCTTCGAGTTTGTTATACAGGCTTGAGTTATGCCTAAAAGAAAGACTACAGCGGATTCACACAATCCCCGGGTTTTTATGGACGTCTCTGTAGGCAAGGTCCCCGCGGGTACAATGATTTTCGAGGTTTTTTCCTTTCTTTGTTTTTTTTAGTAGTTAAATGTTTTGACTGAGGAGACTGTGATCTAAATGAATTTTTTTGTCCTCCCAGCTATTCAAAGAGGCTGCCCCTACCACTGTTGAAAATTTCCGTGCGCGGCTATGTACAGGTAACAATGTGATGGTTTAATTCTAGCTAATTACAATCTGGCTAATTGATTAAGCCCTTGGATATGCTAGTTTATTTAGATTTTGTGGCTTATGATATAGTTTCCCCATTTCTCATTTAATTTTTCTCATTGTTCAGGAGAAAAGGGCGTTGGTAACGTAACTGATATGCCGCTGCACTACAAGGGCTCCTTCTTTTATCAGATTTGGAGTGGCCACTCTTATGTGAAGTAATGTTATTTTTTTTTAACTGGTCTTATGTATAAGATGATTAATTTTTCTATAATGTAGATCTATCCATCTTGTTGTGGTTGAAGATAAACATGGCTCCTCAGTGGTCTCTTCTCAAGCCAATTATCCTTGTTTATGTTGTAGGATATAAGGTGTTATGTTATCATAATTTTGACATTAGATAGTTATATTTTGTTTACAGGATATGGTTGTTAGTTGGCTTATAGCCGTTGGCTACTACTCTTATAAATATCCTACAATTCAATTATATAGCCTTGCGAACTATTTTGTACTTTCTTCTGTTTCTCCTAATTTCTCTCAGTCTCTCTCAGTTCTTCTACCTTCTCTGTTCTTCTCTCAATCTTCCCCATTCTTCCTTACTTTATCTATCATACAGAATTATAAACCTGTATCATAAGTTTAATGGTATAAGCTTGTGTTTACTAAGTTATCTATCATATAATACTAGTAAGTTTCATAATGTCCAAACCTGTTTTGTATTTATCAACATTGTGGTATCTTGACTGTATATTGATAGCTGGTTTTCCTTGTGCAGGGGGGAGATTTTTTCAGTAAACTTGGTATGTCTTCTCCATATTTTCTTTGCTTTTCTTTTCGACTCACTCGGGATTGTGTTTGGAAGTTGAATATCAATTATGGAGTTAGGTTTTCATCATTTTTAGATTGGGTCCTATCACTATGTTAATTTTAAGTATAAGTTTCATATTCTCCAATGCTACGTTTTGTATAATTTTCAATTTTGTTTCCTACACCTCTTCATCTTAATTTTAAAAAATATTTCTGCAGGCATTTGTGGAGAGAGCATTTATGGCGAAAACTTTCCCGGTGAGAATGCAAATCATAATTTTAAGTTATTGTACAAAATGTTATCTATTTATTTTGATAAACAAATTATTATATTGTGTTTATGATTTATTTCAGATGAAAGAACCCCATTTAAACATAATAAACGGGGACTTTTGTCCATGGCCATTACCGATCGTTATGGTATTGGTTCTCACTTTTTAATCACATTGAAAGCTGATCCCGAAATTGAGAGGTTTGTTCATATGTTTAACTCGTACGTATTTACGTTCAACTCTTGTATAATTTGCTAATCTTGTTTTGTTGAATCTTGTGCAGGTTTCATGTTGTTTTTGGGAAGCTCTTGGAAGGATTTGATACGCTAAATAATATTCAAAATGCGCATCTTGGGAAAAAAAGTTCGAGTCACCAATTGTGGCGAATATAAAGGTAAGCCTCGTTTTACCCTTCTGTCTTATATGCATTTTGTTTGGCTAATTTGTTTGATTATTATTATTATTATTATTATTATTACAGCTAAAGCAAAGCCTTGCACAGAGCCAGCTCAGTCTTCTCGAAGGGCAAGTTGGAGGAGAATGAAAAACTGAGAACCTGTTTGGATAGGAATTTTTGGGATCTAAAATAGATTTTTTGAAGGGTCTGACCAATATTTTTTTTGGGCCGTGAGAATCCTAGCCAGCAAAGATAATAGAATTGCATTTTGTCACTTAATGAACAATATGGTGAGATGACCATTGATTGGCTGAACATGTTTACAGAAGCAGACATCCCATGGACTCATTAAAGTATTGAGCTAAAAGAGACTAGGATCTAGAGAAGTGATAACTTCGTTGCAGAGCTAACAGAGGCTACGATCTAGAGAGCTGATAACTTTGTTCAGTGTCGATGAACACTGCTGACTTTTAATAACTATTATGATATGATTCACAATTAGCGCTGTAAATTAGGACTGGCTCCACTAGGGTCAGATTTCTACTTTAGAATGAAAAATAATAATTTGAGTTTAAAAAAATTAATCCTTTTAAGTTTGAAAATAAAAAGGTCGGTCTTTTTAAGTGCTTTTATTTTTTTTAAAAAAATTATAATATAAAAAATAGAAGATTAAATATATAATCAAAAGAAATGAATGTATTAGATTCATTTGTCCCTCCTTTATTCATTCATTAAAATTTAGTTAATAATATTAGTCAAATTTAATCTTTATTGATATTAATTTTGACGTTACTATTTAATATTAGACCTGAATGTTTAAGTTTTTTTATTTATTGTGGTGTGAATTGATTTAAATTTATTTTTTAAAATTTAATTTTATGTATAATAATTTTTTTAGGATTATAAATATATTTTTTAAAATTTTAAATTGAAAAAAAGTAAAAAAAAGAATAAAAAGTGCCGAGGCCCTCAAGGGTTGGCCCTTTAACCTTGAGAATTAAGATTAGGCCTTATTTTTGAACCCTGAAACATGATTAGGTTTATTAAAATTAGTTCGTTTAAGTTCTGACCTTTTAAAGTCAGGTTAACCTTAATTGATAACTGTATTTAAAATAATAAAAGGTACACTTTTTTTTGTTTGTATTTTGTTACCGGACGTCAATGATGAAATGAATTATGTTGCGGGTCTATTTGATATGAAAATAATAAAAGTATATATCATTTAGACGGTGATTGACTGTTGAGAGTAGTTAGGTCGTTTAACTGTCTTTTAATGCTTTTGCTCAGCATTCTTATAAATATTAGGACGCTTCCTCAATTGTAAATAGTCTATCAACATGATGGAAGTCTATTAATCAGAATCTGTCTCCCTACTCTCTCTCTCTCTCTCTCTATCTCTGTGGTTCCGTCTGTCTCTTCTGTTCTTCCTCATTCTTTCTCAATTCTCTTTTGCTTCTCTATCTCTCTTCTACTTTCTTTCCTATTTTCTATATCACTCTTTCTACTACTCTTTCTTATGTTTTCGGGAAAAGCTTGGACTTGATGATTACATTGTATGTGATATTGGAATGCCAGCTGGAAGAACAAGTCAGATGCATTCAAGTTGTCCTTTCTTTTTTTTAAAAAAAAAATCCGCTTAAATGTTCCTTAAAGGACAATATATGGTAATATGGATAGAGGATGAGTAGTTTAAACTTTAATTATATGGATAAAGCATATTCTAAAGATCTGTTAATGTACGGTTTGATCCTCCATCTCCTTGAGATCATCATAATTTGTAGATTATGATACAAGAGACGTGACAATGCAAAACTCTAAAGGGGTATTTTCCCCCTCATATCTTTGTCTCGAGATTTGCTCTGATCAAAATAAAAGGGCAAGACAGAAATTGAAAATCCTAAGCTTCTCCAGAGTTCAATCTTTCTATGGGAACAAATAAAAATGATGACTTTAAACGAAGAAGCTAGAAAACGAGAAAATGTGATAGCGACAGTATGCAAAGATACTGAGGAGCGTACCCCAATCAAAAATAAAAAAACAATCTTATTCTTGCTGGTTTTTGTATTAATACGTAGGTACGCTCGGAAGTCGAAGAGATCTAGAAAGATTCATAATTAGTTTCTGATCAGAATGAAACAAGTTACCAGGACAATGTGAGGATGAAAGATAAAGCAACTTGAGACTTAAATTGTTGCTGCTCCAGTAAAGTTGTATCGTTGGAATTCTAACCGTTTTCACAACCCTTTCTCACCGTTGCATCTGCATTCCTTAAAAAGGAATAGAAACTTGATATATGAAAGAGACGCAAAATGAGAATTCAACCTTGAAAACTCATACCAACCACAGAAAACGCAACCTTATTCGTCTTCACCCCAACCTCATGCTGTTTTGTTATTTGAGACGGAGGGAAAGCTGAGAGAAATGCTAAGAACTACAGTGACCGACGACCCAGAGATTGAAAACGGAAACAGATCTCTCTTTTGATCAGACTTAAAGAGTTATTGGCCTCTTCTTTATGTTTCTGACCACTGTATCACTGCGACACTGCCCCCACTCTGACAGAGACATTTGAGGGATTTTTGAGATATGAAAAAATAGAGCCTGTTCACGAGCAAAGAAGGAGAGGGGTGAGATTTTGAATCTTAAAAGTCTTTTTCATTTTGCCCTTAATTAATATTGCGAGCCTCACGCCTGGCTCGGAACAATGTCGTGAAAATGGAAAGGTGGCTAGAGTTTTTTCTTGGATGATATGCTGCATTCAAATGTGTTTTCTATTGTTTTGTTTTTTTGCTTTTATAATAGTTAGAATGAAGAATCTGATATTAAAAGAAAATTTGTTAAAAGTAATTATCCATCTATAGTAGTCATTATACGTATTATTTGGAAAGAGAGAAGGAGGTTGGGAAATAATATTTGCCCAATCTTCAAGATATTATGAAATTATTTTTTTAAAAAATAAGAACATAATAATTAACTTAACAAAAATGATTATTATTATTTTTTAATAATCAACTTTCTATTTTATAATTTATTGAAAGTTTTAGATGGAAGTAAGGCATTTTTGGCCAGAAGGTTGAAACTTGAAATGGAGCCGTTGGAATAAATGAAGAGGTAGTAGAGAGAGATAGGGATGTTGATTTTCGAACATGAATGCGCCGTTGATATTTAATTTATTCCCCTTTTGGTTCTCACTTATTTGTTGCTTTTGTAGTAGTAACCTAAAAAACTGATAAGGGCAAGCAATGAATGAAGTGAGAGGGGGTTTGAATTGAATCAAAAAGGGTGAGAGCCTGAAAGTAGAGCCAAAAATACAGGCTCAACCTGTCAGGCTGACCCATTTAAGCCCGTTTAATTGGAGGGCTAGGCTTGCAATTAGGACCCTTCAAATGTAATTTGGCCTTAAACGGGCTGGCCCTAAAGAGTCGAGGGCCAGCCCATTTAAGCTCGCATAACTTTTTTTTTTTTGTATTCAAATGTTTTTTTTATTCAAATGATTAACTTTTGATAGACACTTGAACTTGAAAAAAGTTTAAGCATGATCTATCTGTACATGTTAGCCTATATCTGCAAGGAAGAAAAAACATTAAAAGAATAACAGCTAACCTTAAATCTCCTAACTCTCCAAACTACATTTCACCGATTCTGCCCCTCTACGATTTATCTCTTGTTCATGTGAGTTGTGCTCGTCTCTCATCATTCCTCTTTTTTGATAGCATCTCCCAAATCCTAACAGTGCTCCTCTATTTGCGACCATGCTTCATTGTGCTCTTTTGTTTGTGATAGTGCTTCGCGAAGCTCAAAGACTTAAATGATAGCATCTCTCAAGTCTTCCTCTTGCTCGAATAGAATTATAGTCTGATTTGCTTTTCCTTGTTCTTTCCTTATTCTCAATTTCGATCTTAGTTAGACTTGTGACTATAGTTTATCTCATTTGCTCATTCTAATGCTATCACTTTGTTTGTGTTTATGGTTTATTTAGTTGTTTTATTTTGATTTCTATCATTTTATTTATTGATATGGTTGTACTCTTGATTTATATACTGATATGAGATTTTTGAGTTATGTAATGAAATGGAGTATTACTATTTAATTTGATAAAAAATTTAATAAAAAAAAAAAAAATAGGGCTTAAAGCCTGCAGGGCAGGCCCTAAGCCCATTATCTCAAGGGTCGAGCCCTACAATTTGAAACCTCAAAAGAAAAACGGGCTTTTTAAGCTTGACCCTTTTAGGTTCGAGCTCGTCAAGGGCTAGTCCTTTAGGGTCGGGCTGGCCCGTTTTCCAACTCTACTTAAGAGGGGCATGAGCAATCCTGAGGTGGGTGGGACTAGACGTTGCATGGCTGTATGTGAGTCGAGGCCTACCAGGGTGAGCTGTCTCACGTGTATATCTGCCTAAAGAGGATTAGGGTCATGTGAGGGTTGTGCCTCTAAAGTTGGGCCCATGCAAGAATTTGGTAGAATTCTAGAGATATGAAGTTGACCAACGGTTGATATAGCTCCACCTCATTATCAACCTATTTAAAAGGAAAAATGACAATTAAGGACCTCCTAAGGACATTAATCCCAATTAGGGACCCTAAAATATAGAAATCCCAATTCAGGATCATGGTCTTTAATTGGGATAAAAAAAAAACAATGTCAATTGTTGAAAATGCCCTTAAGAGGAAAAAAGAAATATGCCCGCGCACAGAGCCCTATTTGTGCTCTGTTTTAGTGTCTCCCTCAGTTGTCGCTTCTCATCGTGGTTCGTCTAACGTCGTTATCGTTCGTCGGGTTCTCCATATTAGCTTGAGAGTTGTGTAGTTGCCGACGAGAGGTCCTCCAGTGTTTCGCATTTCTGTGACGTTCTCAGTTCGGTGTGCGTCCAGTTCATAGTGCGTCCTCTGTGTTACCCATCTCTTATCTTCTTCCTTGGTTAGTGCCTCTCTCTCTCTCCCCCCGTCCCTCTGTTCTTTTGCTAGCTGAGCTTAGATACTCGCAATCAACTTAAAATTAACTTGGCTAGCGTTATTGCTTTACTTGATTCCTATTATTTTGTTGTAAATTTGTAACATTGTTTTAATACTAGAGGATAACGAGTCCATTTTTGAATATTACTCTCCCCTACGCTACTCTCCCCAACAAGTACTAAACATAGATGATTAATATCTCTTTTCATTGTTGAAGTGTCCTATTTAAAGTATGCTTCAAGAGCTAGGCCTAAAATCAATGGAAAAAGGGATAGAAAAGCATTGAGAACAAATCCTGAAAACAGTGTCACAAACGCTGGTTTCTGTAGTTTTCATATCTCAAAAAGTTGAAAATTTCTGGGCTTCTTCTATTGCTCATCTTCCATATCAGCTTGTTTTTCTCATCTTGAATGGACTTTAAGAACTTAGACGTTGAGATTTCTAAAGCATTTCTTGATCTTGATATATCAAGAATTGAGTTCTCAGAGACAAAAAAGTCATTGACCTTTCGTATGCTGTTAGACACTAGTTTTGATGTGGCTTTTGTA